TATCCCTCTTTATGTTTAAAATCGGTGCTTCAATAATGTTGCTAAGAGATTATCATAGTTAATATCGCATGTACATGAGAATCCTTAAGTACAGTAAATATACTGCCTGAGCTTTATTAAATGAGTATTAAGAACAAACGCTATTCGATTATGCCTGAGCATCTTGCTTTTTGCAGCAAAGTACACAGATTCTGGCAAACTTAGACCTTGCTGTGTTCGAGCAACTCTCACTAGGTGCCTATGCCAGTAATCACGAGGTGTTTCCTCATTCTTCCAGAACAGTTAGGTTTTTGGTTCACAGGTTAATGCAATTCATACACCAACAATTCTAAGAGAACTAGCTAGACTTTCCCGGTCCCCATAGATTCACTAATGTTAAGACGAATTAGGTGGAGCTGAGTGGATCACCACCACTTAACTTATATGGTAGGCACTGTGGTGTGAGTAGGCTAAGAATTAAATCTCATAAAAGAATGATCTTATTTGAGACCCCACACAGTGAATGATACAGTATTATGTATTTACTGATGACATTTCAAGCACAATTTATTTCTTATTGTCATAACATGGCAGTCATATAACCGTTTATGAAGTTCTGTTATTTTTCATCACAGGTTTAAGATATGAAGAAACTTCATGAGGAATATCATTAGAATAGAGGATACCGAACTTATGTTGTATATGGGCTCTAGAATCCAAAAGGATCAAGTGGCGTACAAACCTGTTTTGGTCACCGGAAACCATGGGAACAACTCCTGACACTGCCCCACTACCTTGTGGATCAGAATTCAAGCCAGAGGTTTGCGAGGTGGATCCCCAAGACAATCGGCTGCTTCGATCTGGGCGACCGGAGTGTATCCCAGCCCTCGTACAAACAACCAGATTTTGTGTGGTGCATCTCTTTGTGTCTATAATATAACAAGTTTTTGTTGTAATAAAATGTAGGAGCAGCTGGTTCTCTGGTTATGATGGTAGAGTAACTCTAGGTCGTATTGTGCTGTAAACTTGATTCAGCAATATCAGAATAAGGTCAGTTGGAATCCCTGAAAGTCTCCTTAGGTATGTTGCTATATCGCTAAAATAGTAAAGAGAATATGCATGACTGTCTTCTCTGTCACATTAGGATATGTTGTGCGCTGATAGGTTTCTGACATAACCCATAGATATGTATTGTGAACACGGTGTTCTATTGTAACAATAACCATAAGTTTTTCAGAAAAAAAGTTCCTTATAGAAACCATTGCTGAGTAATCTGAAAAAAAACTGGAACACACTTCGAAATTCAAATCAGTATAAGTAATGTGTCTCCAAGTTGTCTTCTATCTCATCCATCACGGGTTAGTGTTGACAATTCAAACGTAATTAAATTGTTTGCTAGTCGACATGGTTTTTCCTGATTCAGGCTGTCGGATTGAATGAGGAGTTTGTCATCGCTTAACAAAGCAAACCTTTTTATGTATCTAACTGGTGGATGGTGACTAGCAGTGGAATCCAGGATGCATATTTCGTCTTGTTTGGGACTCGTCAGCTTTCTATGTATCGTTTACAACAATTAACCTGAAGACTTAAAGCTAACTTGCCAGAAGCCAATCGATAAGTCACCAGATTGTTTTATAGAATATACGGTTTACGTGGGTTCACTACAAACATTTTGTTTAATTCAGACTCTCTAATCAATACAGATGGAAACGTAGGCTACAAGTTTTTAAACTGTGTACGAAAAAGTTTTAATTAAGCAAAATGTTTCATTTGTACATGTGATGAAAGTCCACAATTCCCTTAACTTAGTATTGGACATCACATATCAACCAAAACAGACTAGCAACGATGTTGTCGATTTATTTAAAAAGCAGACTAGGTACGGTAAGCGCACTATCAAATGGGTTAAAGAAAAGTAATATAACAACATTATGGGGAAAAAAAGAAACAGAGTGACTGGGTAGGGGATTACGAAAACAGCTGAATACTTATCACGAGGATTTATTACTTTCTTGGATTTCGTGAAAGTGAGTAATTAGTAGGATATTCGCCGTCGATTTCAATTCTCATCTACATCTGATTACATCACAAGCCAATAAGTTGGACAGTCACTCAGAATCCACTCACAGAGGAGTGACATGATAACGAATATTAACTATACACAATTATCCTTCATCCCAAATCATGGACAGATCATTTCCACCCCTTCTCCATGCAGACCCAGGGTCAGTGAATGGTATGGGAGACACTGGGATGCGTTAAAGCCAGTAGAGCCGATATCCCAAGATAGTATAACTCATTGGAAGACAATTTCCACTATATCTGAACGCATAACATCCAACCTCAGACTTACTTACACGGTGATGTACAGGATGCAAGTAGCTCAACAGTGATTTCGGTGATCGAACACGCAGTCGCCAGGCATCCTCAGCTCGGAGAGGCCAGGTTTCACAGGCGTAAAAAAAAAGATATGCGCAATGAGTCGTTGTACACTCCAATTTTGATAGCCAGACTTATTTTACGAAGACACCAGAAGTGAACTATATTGCAATATTCCGACGTGGCTTTCACTATACAATTTGAAACCACATCCATCACACGACTAACAGTATTCAAACAAAAACGTAGGTAAATGGAATTCTCGAATACATCTAATGGTCCACATGGAGGGGTAAGCGACGACGTAGACTCCTGCAACAATACTTTACACTTGGACAGAAGAAAATACATACACCAACTACCGACTGACTGTATATGATTCGTGTAGCTCATATATTACCACGCACATCTCTGATTTGTCTTCAAAATGTAGTTGGTAGCAAAATTAAAGAGAAACGGTGAGACTAGGCAGCCCTATCTAACCGTACTCTCGACTCATAACAGTGGTAACAGATGGTTGCATACCCTCAACTCTACCTAAAGTGGTTCCGTATCTCAGGAAGACTACTCTCTTACACATAGTTCTGTCCAACGAATCGAAGGCAGCCCTAATATCAAGAAATACGACTGTTGACCTGTGACAGTGTCCTACAAACTGAAAGAGTGAACACACGATCTGGATGAGACCTAGCCCACTCCTTGCCAACCAATTTTTCGCACATTTTACCGAGCGTGATAGCATAAAGTAGTAACAGACTGATACACAAACAACTTTCGAATGCATTGTATGGTGGAGTAGCTAGCGGTGTACTCCAGGAGGAGCGATTCGGAATCAGCAGCTGCATGCGAATAAGTAGCAGAGTTTTCAAACGAAAATACATAGGCAAACGAAAAACTAGTCATAGTGCATGAAAACGTTGAATAAAAAATATCGCTATCTTAAAATTAAGAAATCAGTAGTCTCCATGTCGTACAATGAATCCGTTATTTGTGCTGGGTTTTAGCTTCGCAAACTTTTAATCACACAGTTAGACTGATATTAATTCGATTCAAATTGTGACGAATATATAATTATCACCAACTTTCATTTAACCTGACTCGTTAGGTAAACATATATACACCCCCATACCAGATATACCCTTGATAGCATCAAAAGAGAACAAGAAGAACGAAACCCAACAGAACATTATACTACGTTGATAAGTGTCAGTAATATATAAAGTAACAATAATAATAATAGTAGTAACAATAATAATAACATTATTATCAATAATAATGACGATTGGACAATGCACTATGAAAGTTCATGATGTCATTAAAGCATTGAGTCATTTTAGCATACAAATAAGTAATGACAAAAACAAGTCACTTTCAACAAATAAATAGTCGAGCATAAATAAGCAATTAATAAGCAAGCAAATAAATAGGCTAGTAAGCAAACAATAACTACTACAATAAAAAAAAACAACTCGAAGATAACATAAATAATTTGAATGATGGTTGAGTGTCACACAATTACACACAAATGTGGAACAGTAATACGTCTTGAAAGCTGTTGTTATATCATTAATGTGTCAATACAAACACTATTAGTACTACTAATAATGTCAGTCCAAAAAATGTCAACGAAAAATTTAGGCAAAGTAACCGTACTAAGACCAACACTCACAGAAGGTAAGTTCACAAGTGCAGATATATTCTGTCTGTTCAACAAAATCAAACTCTCCAAAAAAATGAAATAATCACAGCACATGAAATATGCCAAAAATACTGCTGTACACAAACAAAAACATACTCGGAACTGCTATGTAAACCTTAAAATACAACGTAAAAGTGAGTGGTGGAGGTGAGTGAGGGACGAGAAAGTTCAAAGGGTTAAGATAAAAATAAAAAGAGTATGGTGGAGGAGGAAAAGAATTTTTGCGTAAGAACAGTGAAGTATAAGTGACACGAAAACATTAACAACGAGAACAACATTTCCTTCATTTTCACCATGCAAAAAGGATAACGCAAGACTTTATTCTGACCGTACGGAAGACGCTTAAGAGTTTTACTAATTATATAAGAATAGAAATTGAGAAAATAGGTAGCGTGTTAAAAGTTGTACATATACTATCGTTATAGTAATAGAGATGGTAATAATGAACAATAGCAGTAGTGAACTAAGACACAATATAAGTGTGATAGTAATAAACCTGCAACAAAACGAACTAACCAAATGAGATCGAGTTGGTGAATGCGGTTGAACATGCGCCCACATTCACAATCACATGCAACCAAATTAACAAGAGAAATTTTGGAAGCGTCAAGACACAATAGAAATGATGATGCCGAAGAAAAATGGCTGTAATTTACTGAAATTGCATAATAGTCACAGTTGTAGTATTAGTAATCGTATTGGTAACAACAATAGTAACTATAATTACTAGGGTAATACAAAAGTGATGCATCCAATAAATTCACTGGGAGAACATTCTGAATGCACTAAGCCATATTTAACTCCTTTCAACGATAAATAAATATAATGTGATGTAAGAATGTACAGGAAAAAAAAGCTAAAACAATGCATAGAAACAAAAACACAAAACACAGAAAGTGATGTTTGTCCACGACATATTTCTATTCCTCCCTTTCTTTTTTTCTTATCGTTTGCACATGTGCGATATTGGTAGACGAAAATTGGCATTTGATGCAGCAACACGCGGCGATGAGCCGACGTTATTAGTAGCCATAGCACACCAATCACCGGAAAGTAAGCCATTCGCAGCAGCCAGTGTACCTGGATGTGATAAATTTAAAGCAGTCTGGTTTGGCGCTCCACGAGCAGATAGATTACAACCAGCTGATGTTCTGTACAACGACTCGTTTAGTTTTAAATTGCCTTGGTGAATCAAAATGAAAAGATGACACTTAAAGTATAGAATGGATAAATAAAATATGTATCACTAAATACTGCAAAGTAATCGCATTTTCTACACATTAACAACTTAATAATACTAACGGAAGACTGAGTGTATACAACATTCATTGGTTTCGATAAGTGTCCACAACAAAATAAACTACCATGACTACAGGATAATAGATACTAATGAAACCAGTGTACCACACAAACGCCAGTTTTCTTGTCTCCGGTTAAATCTAACCAATATTTTGACAGTGTATAATTTAATAAATCTACTGAATGTGAAAGTGAAAAAAAGACTTTCTAACATATCTGCTTTCGCAAAGTAGGTTAGATACACCATCTACAAGAAACACTCTGGATCGGTCCCTTTGAACGACACTTCAACCGACCACAAACTGCCACCTGTTCAGAAATATCACTACCTGACACATGACTAGCAGTAAACACCAATCCTCAGACACTAACAGAAGTCTTTATGCCTATCAAGTTAATAAACGTCGGAAGAGCAGCAAGGCCAGATGAAGAAATTACCACAAAAACACTGAAAAACTTATTAGAAACCTCAGAAAACACATTCACGTGACTACTACCGGAGGTGTGGAATGAAAGAAAACTACCTGACACCGATTGGAAGAAGGGCTCACTTGTAAGACTGACGAAGAAGCCCGACCTAAGCCTGTGCAACAACTAGCACGGAATCATCCACGGTGCCTCCATCCATCCACCACAGGCGAAGTATTAAGCCAAATCATCCTAAAACGACTAGAACACACATCTGAAGAAAGACCGCTCGAGACAGATTGGATTCGGGGAAAAATAGGTCAGACGGGGAACAAACTCCTAAAATACACATCATCATCATCATCCACAATATTGAGCAAAACCAATAATGGAAATCAACTCTTTGTCTCAACTTCACAGACTTTGAAACGGCTCGTCACACACACTTACACTCCGAGATTTACAAGCGAAAACGAACAAGTTGACAGAAGAGATAGCGAAGATAGGTCTCCAGGTGAACATAGAGAAAACAAGGATATTGGGGATATCTATCTGACAAACAACAACAATCACCATGAATCGGAGCAATTCGAAGGGAATCATCCCTTTCACCTACCCGTGGAGGGGGGGCAGCTTCACTCCAACTACGGGCAGATGTCACTCAGGAGGATGTCAAAGACATCCAAGGTCGGATCGGGAAAGCAAGACAGACACACGTCCACTGTACTGACATCAGTGTGGTCATCTACAGAAATCAATACAAGTAACAACATCCGAATTCTCAACACCAGTGTCAAGTCAATGCTTCTGCATGTCTCAAGGACTCGGGACTTATGTTACCAGAAACTTCTCCACCAGTCTGCAATACCTGTCACCTTCACCGGATCATACTGAAGTTCAGACGGTCAATCACGAAGGATAAACAATAAGTAACTTGTCAGGTAGATGGCTAACGTTCCATGAACCCACTACCTAACAAATGTGTGAAATGAAATTGAGATTGCTCGGACATACACTTGACATGGTTGAGTGACACCAAACACCCGTCTATTCTTGGAATAGAACACGCATGGGATCCAGAAGAGCTGGGTTGGGCGTCAAATGGTGAAGTGGAGATAATGTGAAGGGGGAGTGATAACTTGTAGGTATTGGGATAGTTGACTGTGTTTTCACAGAACAGAAGATACCGAAGGTATCCTGGTGGAGGCTTGTACTTTACTTGGAACACGAAGAACGAATAATATAATAAACCATACAAAAACGCAGAAAAGGACACTGGTATGCTACGACTGTACACACGCATTTATTTAATTCCACGTAGACAAGACGTTCATAAAGACTTAACTGTTTTCAAGACTCCATCCAGTGCTCTACATTAAATGAAAAGTTGATTGACATAAGCACCCATCAATAAGAACCTATCCCTAATCATAAGCTCAAAATGTAGGTTTTGAGTACATCGTTACTAGTTTGCACATTCAAACGTAACCGAATTAGCGTGCACAGCATAAGAAACAGACGAATAGAAGGCTAAGGAAATTGTAAATCATGTAGAAAATTATTATTTCTGCCTCTTTATCGGTAGAAGTCACATATTAGCAGTATGCAAGATAGTAACACACATGGAAAACAAGTCGGAATCTTGTTTTGTGAAGAATTCACTGGGAAGATCATTTAAGGTAACACTAAGAAGTGAAAGTCATTTATGTATACCTTGACTACACAAAGACAGTATCCTGTCATCAAATATCCGGTGTAAATTAGTTTACACGCATACGAAAATTAAAGACTTTAAAATCATTTATAAACTAGTGTACAACTGGTAGTGGTGGAAAGTCGAAAGGAAATATGTCAATGAATATCAAAACAAGTCCGACCCTCTAAAATGCATAGCGATTATTGAGGAAATCAAGGTGTAACGGACTGAACAAGCTGAAAAAAGTCGTTAATAACACATGGCATAAAAACGTCAGCAGAGAGAAATACACTAATGCCTGGAGGACTAACCTGGATCTACAGAACCAGTGGATGACCAGTGGGGTATTTGCGCGCACCCTGGAGAATTTCCAAGGCCAATAGCAGCCGCCGTTGCCATTGCCGACATAGAAGCTCCGTTTTGGTGGGTGGGGAGCGCATCGTTGATGTAACCGGCTGCCAAGTGATTGGTTGGCCTAGGACCTGGTATAACTGAAGAATTGGGCCCAGTCCACTGATTATTTATAGATCGAGAGACAGCATTACCATGATTCCAACCAGTAGGAACAACTGATGGAGCACCCAAGGCTAAACTTGAACTCAAAGAGGGCGGAGCCAATTGACAAAGACCTGCTGCTGCTGAGTGGTTCCAAGAATCTATTGAATTAACTAGTGGGTCAAGAGAATTATGTGCAGAACCAGGTACAGTTGCAAGTGGAGTTAAACAAATCGAATCCCAACCAGGTTGGGGCTTATGTGCAGACTGCTGATTGTACAATGAATCTTCATTTAAGGAGTGAACTATGAAGCAAAATAGTAAGAAAAATAATCACGATTCTTAAAAAACTACAACTTTATTCTTGATAATGACACTAAAAACCATTTGTTCTAGATAGAAATCCCTATACACCACACGATGTGGTTAGCAATCTGCTGACATGAATGTCTAATGGTAAAATTTTAATATGAATGTTTACTACGTAAAAAGAATGTACTGTAATATGAAACAATCTAATGGTACGTAGACTAACTAGCGACGATTCACAACAATTTCCCCTGTGGACAGACACACAATAGAATGATTGTGCATGACACTTCTGTGCACGTGTCAGATATTGCAATTTACAATTACACTAGCGCATCGGCAGGGAAGAAACAATCAGGATATAAGAAATGATAGCAAGAATAGGGACAGTAGAAAAATTAAAACTGAAAAAGTATTATATATATATATATATTTATATATATATATGCATCTATATTAACGTAGCTGGAATACAGTCCTGGTCGCCGAGAAATCATTTCATTTTTCGTTAGAAGATCAATCAAGAAACCTATGATTCTCTACATTATTCGGACAACACCGTTAAACACCGCATCAACTGAGACATTTTCTTGATTTGGTTTTTGGGACACTTTTGTAGTACTCACATATGAGACTGAGAACTTCAGTTTCTGTAGCTCCATAATCCTATTAGTTAACTCATTTCCTTTACTTAATGCTTTAAAACTTACATAACAAATCCAACGTCAGCTATGTCTATATTATTCAAAGACCTGTTTGTTCTTACTCTCCTTGAGCACACGTCGAGTAGCGGAACACCATACCAGAATGATTTCTATCAGGAATTAAAGTGAACAAACTAAATAAACTACTAAGCCTTCTGAGTTGTTGAACATCAAACATACTGTTTAGATGAATGAAAAAATAAAATTCTGTATAAAGTGAATTAGCTCAAGATTTTACAGTATTCGACAGAATGAAACTAACGAAAGCATTACAATGGTGCATATAGGGAAGATATGTATGTACATATGAAATATAATGACAAGACAATGAAAGTCTAAAACAGGATAAAAACAAAAAATTTCCGGTTTCACGACTGATTATGTCCTGTAATAATAATTACTTTCACAAGTTATTTCTAATACACCAAGGTATCCACAATTTTCCATACAAATTCAGAAGACATAAAACGATTTTATTGGTTTGATGTACAAACAAAGGCTGTCTATCTTACATTTACTTCATCCATAAATGCATATAGATAAAGTGCAACTCAAGTGAGCAACGTAGGATTGATATCAATTCATGATCGTATAGACAACGCCAGTTTTCTTCTCTAACATCCGAACGTACAGTCGTAATACTGGCAACTCAGGGGAACTTAGTGCACAGTTTAATATAAACCGCTGCTCAAACACTTATAAACAAATACCAGCTGTTATGACAGACGATTTCTAACAGTAAAGAAGCGATAACTGTCAGTGGTATGTCGCAATTCCGCTCAACAATAGACAGTCTTACTTCTCACAGAAAACAGACTTCCAGACGCCAAACAGGCTTTTCCAATAATGCTGACATACTATTAGCTACTCATCCACCAATTAGATGAAAGAATTGAATTGATAAATATTGAGACTACTTATACCTTGCAAATACGAGTTCAACTGAGCTTACTGTAGCCAGATACTGAATACTTGTTAGTCCTTCAATAGCTATCCCACATGCAATTTTCCACCATTCACTAAGTGAAACAATGTACGTAATCGAACGATGTTTTCGTAAGATATATATACATATATATATATATATGGTAAATGTCATCACTGTTACGAAATGAAATGCTGATTTTCCATAAGAACTCACAAAAATGACAAGTTTGGTCAACAATTATATGGCAAAATAATCCCTGTGAAATCTACATTTAATCACAACAAAAGTTTGCTATTCACATCCCTTGTAGTCAGCAGAATTGATTATCTTTGAGTTTAAATAGCTGGAAATTAAACACTTACAATCAGTAACCTCAATTCAATTTGAAGACAGCTTAGTAAAAACCGTACTACCTTTGTTAAGAATGGTATTCTTCATTAGTAAGACCTATTTATTTGACCAGTTTGCTTGATTATAACTGATAATTCATTCCACTAGAAATAAAAACTATACCTTCCAAAGTTGAAACACTTAACAATTCTGAACCTTAAGCGACAAGAAAATAAAAAGTTACTTTCAAACTAACCGACTAACGAATAAACATGAGTTTTAACTTCAGCGACGGTTTATGAAATTAGCATCTGCATCCACTTGATATGAAATCAAAAGAAATTAATTGCACATACCTGTAGTCAAAAGATGTATTGTAAGCAAGTTCTGTTAGATGAAACTAAAGGCTCAACATTACTTTTTAATAGCTATATATACACATTCACTACTAAGAGTAAGACATCAAAACATATAAACACTGACTCCTGGCTTCTAGTATTATCATGTATACGGTAATAAGACTAAAACTACCACTCAACAAACCAACGAATATTCAAAATAACTATTATTTCCTTATATAAATAATGATGTGAAATAAAAACGAAGTGGGTGAATGACTAACAATATTCAAGTATCGACGGAAAAATACATCGTGTAACTAATGACGATAAACTAACTCAGCATCCCGATACACATCCGCATATGCACCTTTGCACCATGCATGACGTATATAAGCCTATCGCACCAGTCCGTCAATCGGGATAAAGGTAGAGTGGGTTCAACCCGTAACGAAGCAATTAGCAACTAAATTTGCGCACCAATTGTGGACTTGTGTAGCAACAAGATACAATTACCAGTTACTTTTGAAAACTGACGACACAAAAGTGATCAGACTAGTCAGTGACTGACTATTAAGATTTGACTAAAATATTTCAGAGCGTACTTCGATTTACTGTCGTAGGTGCAGCTATTTGATGGCCCCAAGCCGCAGGCATCCAACCATTTGTAGAATTGATAGACTGGTCCGGCCAACTTCCAAGCGCAGTACCAATGTTATGCATAGGAGGTCCAGGACCAACAGCAGTCTGGCCATTATGAGGAGTATTAGCATTTGAATTGGTCCAGGCTAGAGGAGGCCAAGCCTGAGGTTGTCCATGAGAACCCCAATTACCGGGCCAATGACTCCAGGTTGCACCTAAAAAGAAGAAAAGTACTCCCCGGTTAGAATTAGTGTGTAAGTTTTGTTAAGTTGCGAAACTTCAGAAAGTAGTGAAGATTTGTTTTCTGAGATAAAGAGTGACAGTTCACTCAATGATACGACATAAATTTATGCTGATTCCAAGTACCATAAGCAGCTCTTAAGTAAAATAAATAAGTCTGTATAATGATCACGAACCGCAAGAGGCAACAGAAGCATGGAAAAGGTTTTATGAGTACAGGAAGTCAATGACTTAAGAAATAAACCACTCACGAAAAGGAATGGTTATTTAGTCAATTACAAGTAAAGAGATAGATCACTAATTAGTTTAAGAAAAAGACAGTTGAGACGCTGGAATGGACAGTTTAAGCAGTTTGAAGTAGCTCTTCAGCTGGTTAGGGTTTGGCCTCCATCTGAATAGGATGCGGATATTGATTCATAGGATCCCAGCACATATGAGGGGTCTCAAACACGGCGAGGCCAAGAATTGGACAAGGATTACTGATTCGATTAAATTCATTACACAACGTGAGAAAACCAGCCGATAAGTAACTAACTTATATAGATGAAACTAAAAGCTTACCATCGCTTTTTAATAGCTACATATACCCCGGTGAGTGCGTACTGCTAAAGAGTCCCAAGCCAGGACGGAACAGCTGTCCAGTACTCCCAGGTTCTCATATCAGCTCATGATGAAATCTTCCAACCAACTAACCTATATAACGTGAAGCCCAACATTCTACGGACTATAGTAAATCTATCTTTTAAATGGTGGAACCCATTATGTGTGGATTTTCCGCCAGTAGTCTTAAAATACCGATTATTAGAATTCTAAAGATGCCGACAAGATGACCTTGTACCTTGGAAAGAAAACACAACACAGATGTTATTCCCATGACAACATACTGAACCTAAGGTCCATGTTAAAAGACACAAACTGGGATCTATTTACTGAACAAGCTCTTGATAACACAATTGCCAACATAACACATTATCTTAATTTCTGTCTTGATGTTTGTTGTCCAAAAGAGACAATCTTCTTAAAATTCGATCGCTTCTCCTCTTCTCAACTCAAAAAGCTCCGCCGTGAAAAAGAAAGGTTGTTCAAAATGAAAAACAAATCTGGTGTTAAGAGAATGAACACTTTGATTAAGCTTGAATTACAAAGATTGAATGCTCTCTATAACCAGAAGTTTCTTTCATGTAAATCCCCATCAAATATGTGGAAGTTATTAAAGGAAATCACAGGTGGTAAGCAAATGTTGAATGATATTTCTGTAGATGTTAACATGCTAAATGAATCCTTCATATGTATCCCAGCAAATGTTATGATTCCTAACTCAAATAGTGTAAACAATGACTGCTTCTCATGCTTAAACACGAATGATGTCCTCAAGTGTCTTCAATCTCTCAAGCCTACTCAGTCCCTCGGTCCTGATGGTGTTCCTGCTGTTATCCTTAAGAAGTGTGCCGACATCTTGTGTTCCCCGCTAACTGACATTTTCAACGAATCGTTTTCCAAAAGTATTATACCTGAATCATGGAAAAACATCAAGATCGTTCCAGTGCCTAAATCTACAAGTGGACCTAATGTTAAGTTTAGACCCATTTCAATTACCTCACCCTTCTTGAAAGTTATGGAAAGACTTATTTTACTTAATCTTGATCCCTCTTTAAAACCTTTCAACGACCCCAACCAGTTTGCTTATAAACATAGTAGGAGTACGTTAGATGCCGCTGTCGTCCTCCACCATAGCATAGTCTCTAGTTTAGATAAAGGAGCTAAATACGTTCGCTGTGCCTTCCTTGATTACACATCTGCATTTGACTCTGTTCCCAGGTCTCTCTTGCTAAGTAAGCTTGCTGCAACACAGGCTGAAAGCTGGACAAATAAGTGGTTGCATTCCTATTTTTCTGAAAGGAAGCAGTACACCGTCTACAATGGAAAATCCTCCACTACCTCACTTACTTTAGCTGGTGTTCCTCAAGGTGCTGTTCTTTCTCCCTTTCTGTTCTCGTTTTTCTTACATGACTTGCCTCATTCTGATGTAGCCACTTTTGTTAAGTATGCCGATGACCTCTCGGTTTCTATGCCTGTCAACTCTCAGTCAGATTGTTCCAAATTAAATAGCTTTCTGTCGGAAATTAGTCAGTGGTCCTCTTCAAACGGACTTAAGCTTAATCCGTCTAAATGTCAGGTAGTCAATTTCACTTTCAGACGTAAATGTGACCTACAGCAACTAGTTAGCTCACATGGCCCCACTCTCATTGACGGCACAGAGGTTGAAAATACATCTTATGTCAAGTACCTTGGGCTGAGTTTTTCCACCGATCTTTCCTGGTCTTCCCACATCTTGCTAGTTACTAGAAAGATGTTTCGCTTAACGTTCTACATTAGGAAATTTAGGCAGTCTGGCATAAAGCAGTCTTTGCTTTCTCAGTTTGTAAATTCTTGTATTCTACCCATCCTCCTTTACTGCTCCCCATTAGTCTTTCCTGGACTACTTAAGAAAGACTTTGCTTCGCTGAGAAGGGCACTAAAAGCTGTTAGTAGGGCAAGTGGGATATCGTTAAACCAACTGGTGAACACTATTGTAGATAGACATATAATGTCATGTAAGAAACTAGCGAATACAATATTGTCGGACCCCGAGCATCCTCTCTATACGCATCTATCTCCTTGCATTTCATCTGGAAGAACTAGAAGCAGCTATAGGAGGCTATATGCTAGGACTACCAAATACAAAAACTCCACAATACCATATCTGGCACAGCTGTTATGTGATGAGAAATCCGTTAGGTATGACACGATAAACTTACTGCAGCACTCTAACAAATAGTCTCATTAGTTTTTGTTTTCCTTTCCTCGTTACTACTACACTGTTGTTCTCATCTACTACCACACATCAACTTTATATTTCAAATCCTGTGGTGCATTGTTTGAAATGAAATACTCTACGCTGTTTTTTTTTTCTTAATTTTTAATATTTATTTATTTTATTTATTTATAACTTATTTATTTTATTTTTATTTATTTTTGATTTTTAAAAATCTTATATAATTTATGAGGTAATTAGATGCAATATACTGTAATGCACGCTGAAAATTCCATACCTGTACCACAAATACTGTTTGGAATAAAGCTGTTATTATTAATTATTAATTAAATTAATTAATTAATCTACACCCCCGTAAGTGGCTGGCCAAAATCACAGGTCGAAGACTTTATAGACTAATGCCAGGTTTTCATTTGACCGCTCCTTTGACTCTTTTCCAATCTAAATTTATACCAGTTATAACTGCTCGATGAGCAGACCAGTAGTTCGGCGTGCGCAACATGTATCCTAACCATCCCAACTGATGCAGCTTCACAACTTTACAGATTTACTTCCTTTCATCACCTAACACTTTACACATAAGCTCAGTATCACTTACCACATTAAACTACATAACATGGGAGAAAAAACTCAAATATGTTTGGTCACAGACAGCTGGTCTTTCCATACATTCCATTTTCACTGACCATGCCTAACAGGCAAGAAGTAGGACAGAGAGATCAGCTAAGAACGATATGATTCCTTTGATAGATAGCCGGATACCACGTCTGCACCGGTAACATCAGTCAGCAAATAACGGACGAGTATTTTGTATCCATGATGAGATTTCGTCAGCAATCAGCCCACTATGGTTGATGCAACTTCTCAAATAAATGAATCAATCAACAAGCTCCACCACTTCATTCGCCATCTTTAAGCTAAAAGTAGTTGCAGTTTAGTCCAGCAACATTATTTTACATTCGACAGGAGGTAATTGTATTCCAAACATACTAAGTGTTCAGAAGACTGCGATTTAACAGCCCTTTCACCTAGGAGCACAATAGCATCCGCATACTCCAAGTCGATAAGACTGTACTCTGGTAATAGGTTAAGTGGTTGAATTTATTTGTGGTCAATTCCATTAGTACATCTACGATTAAATAAAAATGAGGACGTGGTATTTCACCACTGACACCATTGGTTGTCATCACTTCAGATAACAGATCTCGGTAAGCTCCAACACGGCTACCTGATCCGAGTAGAGTGCGTTGATTAGTACGAAAAACATTATCGGCACTCCCTTCACGGCAAAACGTGGCCAAAGTATTTCTCGGTCGACGGAGTCGCATTTTGCCTTCAGGTCAAGAAATATGGCAACAATGTCTGTGTTTTAGAAGCTGTCGAAGAGTGAAGATATGATTAAGACACCCTCCTCCTGGTCTAAAACCTGCCTGGCTTTCTTACGTTTGTTTCTCTCGAGCACCACTCGGCATGCACATTATAATACTTAAAAATTCAGACACCGTATTAGTCAAGCTATTCCCCCCAATGATTACCAAAGGAAGGTGTTGTTGTTGTTGATCAATGACTTATACTGGCCTCAAGGGAATTATCTTATCCTATCTACCAACAATAGTTGAAAAGTACCACAGCTGAATTCTTTTCTTCCATACAACCAGGAAATATATTCGAGACATGCCTCGTCTCAGATTAGGGACAACCCTTACAATTGCAAATGCAGATAGAGGACCGATATCCACATCCCATTCAGGTAGGCACTAGATATTGACAAGTTGAGAGTGACTGTAGGTCACTTGAAACTGCTCCTCAAAACGACCCTACCAACGTCCAAGTCTCCTCTCCTGGGAGGCGCTTTCCTCGGAGATTGCTCCACTTATCACTAGCATTTTCTCTAATAGGCCCGAGTAGTTGTTTAGCCTTCTCTATCGCCGGCTCCGATTTATTTACTTATTTTGATTTTGTTGCCTATCGCTGCTCTCATCACTTGAGAGGACTCTTGGCCAGTTTGCGTTTGAGCAACTTTCGCTTCGCATGGTGTTTGGAGCCCGCCGGAATCGATCTTTTGGCATTAGTTATTCCGGATGAACTGTCAGAAATCCACTGGCACTTTCTAAAATATAGTTTTAGCTTTCTCAACACTTCTTACACTGTTTCTACAGCTGACTGAATATTTTGCTTGAGGCACCTGAAACATATTAGTAGCCTATTTAGTATGAAGACCATACGTGACACACTAGTAGGAGGAACTTGTCGACAAAACATTCTGGAATTTCAAAAGTGGTTAAACAAGCAGAGCAGATGGAGACAAATACATCTTTAACAGAAATGCAACTGATTAAGATATTACAACACAGGGTGTTTTCCCCACTATAATACATTAATCTTAACGGAATGTTTTCATTTTCGATTACACGGAGTCAGACAGACAGGCGTAAAGACGTCTGGTGCGCATACGAGCTGTCTTTTCTTATGAAACCACATGGCTCACATCTCATTAACGATAGGTCATAATATTCAAATTCACCTATAGAAACCACGGTTACACTCAAGTGCTCCAGCAGTTCATATAATGTCAAGTGAAAAACTTACAGGAACCATTGGACTGAGGTGGACCATACTGCTTTTTCTGACCGCGAACAGGCCGTCCATTGCCTTGCACAGCAGTAGTCACATTTGGGGAAGTCTGGTATTCAGGTTTCTGAGTGTTTGGAGGTTTCATCGCTTTTATTTCAACCTAAACAATTTTAGGATTAAACCACGGTGACTTACTTGTTTTCCATTCAAATTTAAGTAGTGCAGTCTGATGAGATTTTTAACCACTTCTTCATCTTCGAATCCAACAAATGCAAAACCTATTGACCATACATAAATTTATTAGAAAGAGTACCTCTATGTCGCTGCTTGGTTTGACCAGCAAGTAAGTTGACGTCAGTAACCTGTTAATTAGTAGATCAGGGACGTTAGAACAAACCCTTCCATAGCTGGAAAAAAAGTTCCTAATTATGTTTTCATCATGATCAAAGGCAATTCCTCCCACGAAAACCTTGAGACTTCGACGATTCTAAGCACTGAATAAATAGTGAAATATTATTTACTTTGCCTTTCATATTAACATTGCATCTTTTCGGATCAACTTCCTTAAGGTCAATCAAGTGGGGTTTTTGTCTTAAGACCCAATCTACAGATTCATCATTCTTAAACTTAACATATCCAAAGCCTCGTGATCGACCTGTCTTGTTGTCCATCATTACAGTCGACTCTTCAATATCACCAAACTTCGAAAAGTATAATTTGAGGGAGTCTACAGGCATCAATTAGAATAACAAGTGTCATACCATTAGTTGTTGACTGGTGAAGCCCTCCGACAAAAGTTTTCTGGTAAGGTGAATAAAAACATTATTCATAGTAAGTTACCCGACTTCATTACCCTGAGAATCGATAGACATAGTTGACGGAGCTCAACGAACTGACCGAACGCACCACCAAGGTCACATAAGATTACCGCACTTCCAGTTCGTTAAAACTTCAATTCAATATCCAATCCAATATCCTGATTACGAGCTAGTATAAACCAGTGATTTCTTTGAGCTCGCTTCTTGATTGTGAGGTAGAGGTTCCAGATCTTCGGTGAGCTTCTGCGTAGTAAGTCCCGCCACTCGACTGCTCTAGCTCTGGTAGACTCCAGGAGGAGTGGTGCGGGGATTGGTCGAGATGTGGTTTGTAGTATGCAGTATGTTAGGACTGTATTGCTGCCGTGAATGGAGTTTGACCTAACTCCCGTTGGTCATTCGGTGTAGTCATAAAAAGCAGAATAGTAGTAATAATAATAAGAATAAAAATAATGGGTTGTAGTGTGGATAATATAGGTTGAGATAAGTGGAATAATAAAGGTGACCTAAGGAAAAGATAGAGTGAGAGAAGGCAGAATAGGTCGTGGGGATTTAGTTTGTACGCTTATCCATTGACAGTGTGGTTTCAAGTTTTATGGGGATAAGCCATTGAGACACAAACCTTGCATTTCTGCATGATTGTCTAGCTTCCGCTTAAAAATCTCCAGAGAAGGCGCTGTAGTCACGGCCGCCGGTAAAGCGTTCCAGAGACGGCAAACACGAAGCGAAAAGAAATGTGATCGCACTCGAGTCTTTGATCTCTGGTGTGCTATCCTTAGCGGGTTACCTCGTGGAAGCCTATAGTCACTTAATGGCAGGATGCTTTTATTATGGTGGGCCTGGTCATTTATGATTTGGTAGACGGTGATGAGGTCTCCCCTGTGCCTTCGGTAACTAAGTGTGAAAAGACCTAATTTCTTTAGTCGTTCCTCATATGATTTGTTGCGGAGGCTGATCACCCATTTTGTCGCTCGTCTCTGGACACTTTCTAGAATGTTAGAATCCCTTTTGAGTAGCGGAGGTGCAATGATATTATGCACCTCAAGGTGTGGCCTCACATATGCCTTATATAACCTTCAATGGGATTGTTAACTGGACAGATGCTTTATTTAAATCTTTGAAACAATCATCCTTTGTTTCATTCGTGTACATTCGTGTATTTATAATACATGAGTGGGAAAGTTCCAGGATAATTTCCGGTCAGGGGTTAAATTACTAAAATTACAGTTGGGAATTAAAATGCCATAACAAACAAGGGGATGGATAAAAACTCAAGCAAAGTAGCATCATAATTACTGAGAAGACTGAAATATTGTGCTGTTAGGGGTTGGATATATTCAAATTATGAAATGAGACAAGATTTTTGTTATAAACCTAGTAGTAAAATCGTTTTCCATCAGGGTTTCTCGGAGATCATGCAGTTCTCCGTCAATCACTTCCTCGCTGCATATCTCTCGAATCCTCTATGAAGGAGCGTATATAAGCGCCCTCTTTCTGCTTAGGGGCACAAACCTCTGAAAGTCGATGAGTTGTCCACCCCATCTAGGCCTTTTCGTCCGGACCATTGCAGACGGTTGTCGGAGTCTCTTGTCGTATGGACGTCGAGAAGGTGGAACACTCCATCGGAAATAGTTTCAAAAGTAAAGTTGGTGTTTTGATGGGAATTGTTGAAGGTTTGAAGTAAGTTTTCAAGGTCCAGGTTCTCATCACAAATGATGAAAATATCATCACTTTATCTTTTGTAAAGATGGAGGTCAGTGATAGTCGATGACAAGAAGTTGTTTTCGATGCTTGCCATAAAATAATCGGTCAAAAGGGGTCTAATCTGTTCTTCTATAGACTTCATCGTTGAATCTCAAGTAAGCGTTGAAGCTACAAAGTGGTAACGGTTCCTTTGGACAATGGATGTGTACGCCAACATCTCTACTGATGCATTGGATGAATTCATGCAGAAAACGTATAGTTTATGTCAGTTGGACATTGGCGAAGGGAGAGATGACGTCAGGGGAAACTACTTTTTATCTGAGAGGTTGACATTTTTAATCGAATGTGTCGTGGAGGCTGAGTCTCGAAAGCACTTTCACTGGTCCAAGAATTTCTATCAGCCACTTCGCGATTAGGTGACATGGTGAATTAATTGTACCTAATTTTGGGAGGAGTGGGAGGTCATTTTTGTGCATTTCGGGTAATTCGTACATTCGTGGCAATGTAGAGCTAGACGAGAGTTGTTCATATAGTTCTGTATTAATAATTAATATATCCTCATCTCAATAATTTCGTTAGCTGGAGCTAGATCTGTTTAGTCGAATCTTTATGGATCGTCTGGTTTTGAAATTCGTTGTCATCAGATAAAATTGGGAAGAGTTTCTTCACATAGTCTGAACAATTCCAGAACCTTTGTCTAGTCGAGATATTATGAAGTTTTCATTTGATTTCAGTTCTTCAAGTTGCTTCCTATGTTATTTTGAGATAATATTGTGAAGCCTAGGTGTTTGTTGATGTAGTCGAGACAGTAATTCAAAACAGTTGATTTGAAATGTTCGGTACTGGCATATGAGATTGGGACCAGATCATTGGTCCGACTCATCAAATTTTCGAATCCTACTCTGGTGTTCATTTCGTTTACTTTTGATTATGCGTCACAAAATGTTAGTCCTAGTGACAGGAGTTGCATTTGAAACAGTGAGACATCCAAAAAACTGAATACATATTTCTCAGGATAAGACGCGAAAGCTGTTTCCTTGGTGACAGATTTTAGGCTCTGGTTAAGTCTCGTGGTGATATCATCCTTTCTCTTCTCTGTAACTGTATCGGCGTAGTGTTCGAATGGCTCACGTTAATCAACAGTCACATTGTAGAGAACGTGGAAGCTCATTGAGAAGTTTTGTTTCACTTCAGCTGGTCTGGATCGGATGACATCAATTTGATTTTGGGTGTGTTTTCTTGGCGTGCGTGAATTAGGTAATATACGGTTCCGTCCCAAATTTTTCCAGAATGCTTTTGGGTTCTTTAATTTTCAAAAGGAATAGGGGGCAGATGCCCATGTTGATATTATTCTACTGAAAGTCTGCACCTGTCTATTCCTCCCTTGATAGCGCCTAGCAAAAACTAAGTCTGTCTCTTTGCACCCGCTTAGTTAGAGTAAGGTTAAGGTCCCTGGTGTTCGGTAAACCTATACACTACTACTGTACATATTATACTGACGTTATTTGTAGACTTTTCAGTGTATTGATAGTAACTAAATGTGAATCACACGGTCAAGCTGATGTGTAATTTACTTTATATATTGGCTCATACTCGATCTATCAGTAAATCTTCGACTTGTAACCCGAGGTTTACTGCCGATTACGCTGAGGTCAATTCGGTTACTATATACACCTAATAATATTCTGAGTTGCGGAGAATCATCCTCTGCAGCAAATCTTCTGATATCGTTAATGATAGCTGTATTTGACGTGATTTTTATGTTAATTTGGCTTTTTTGGGTTGATTTCTTTGAAAATTATTCTTCGACGTTGTTCCTAAGTGTGAATGCGCGTTAGCGTAGCAGGGTGCTTGAATATGTACTTCATGCAATAATCATTTGGTATAGCGTGCATCCTTTGCGTAGATTTACGCTACAGGTATTTTAATAATTTCTGTGCATGTTGACCGCAGGACTCATAAAAAAAGCAGTCCCGAAACACTTTATCAAATGTTTAACATATTAACATTATTACTTCTTCGCAGTTTTGTGAATTATTATTATTGTTTCCTTGGGTTCCTAGTGGAACATAGGGCCTCAACTGCACGTCTTCACTTCCTTCTGTCTTCTGCTGTACTTTTCACCTGCATCATGTTAGTCCGTACTGTTTCAACTCCTCTTCACACGATCTTCTCCATGTCACCCTTGCACTGACGTCCCACTCGCCGTTTCTCTTTTGGGTTCTACTCGAGCAATGGCCTGACGCGCGCACGATATCACCCAGCGGCCTCCCCAGTCATGAGTGTCCAATATATCTCCACTTTCTCCTGCATATTTGTTAGGTGATTAGTTCTTGCTTTGTTTGTTTCCATAGTTTCTTGTTGGTGATTCTTTCCGGTCCGGCCATCGGAACTTCAATATAGAGCCAGCTAAGACAGTTGTTAATAAAAGTCTTCAACAGGCTGTTGGAAATATTCTTTGTGACCCGCCCGCCAAGTTTCTGATCCGCATAGAAGAACTGACTGACTTGACGTTGTTTGTATTGAAAATCCGACCGAATTTCGTTGTTGATGCTGGCTGAGTGACGAAGATTTCCGGATTGGTTTCAGGTTGATGAATGTTTTTCTCACCTTCCCGATTCTCGCTCGATTTGACATCCTCGTATGTTCCCCCTATAGTTGAGACAATGCTCCCTAGATAAATGGTGAATGAAGTAACCTCTTTCAAATCCCTCCCGTTGATGGTGATTGGCGCTGGATGTTGCTGATGCTGATGTTGTTGGCTGGTTATTTTCATAACCTCCATCTTGTCTATGTTCACCTGGAGTCCTGTCTTCACTGTCTGCTTCTTCGACCAGTTTGTCGATTTTCGCTTGTAAGTCTTTGATTTTGTGTGACATCAAACATAAATCATCCACACGCGAAATCCAGGTCTTCTAGGTTCTTTACGTCGTTCCAGGATATCCCTGTCTTCTCGTTTCCCACTGTCTGACGCATAATCCACTCCACCACAATCAGGAATATCATTGGTGATAGATAACAAGCACCCTTGTCCGACTCCTGTGTTCACTCCAAACGCCTTGCTGAGTTTTCCGTTGTGTATCACTTGACATGTTCCGTTGTCATACAGCTGTCGAATAAGGTTGATGAATATTTGGGGTACGCCGTAGTACTCG